GGAGATTAGTACCCAGGGTCTGGGTCTGTATATGAATTCTTATGTCCCTGATAGTGGTGAAAGTCTGATCTGGAGTCCTGCCTTGTACAAGATGGTCTATATAAGGACCTTCCAGGAAAAGGCTCTTTGCTCTTTTCTAATCCTAATGAGGTAAAAAGAATAGCTCTCAAAAACACCCCCCCCCAAATCATCAACCCCCACCCTTCCCCAAAAATAGAAAGAAAACAACAAAACAAAAAACCTCCCATCAATAGAGAAACTGTTCTCATAGGAAAGCTAAAAACATATATAGGATGTGATTCTGTTTTTCTGGCAAAATAGACTATAACAAGGTTGTTACTGAACTCTGCGCTGCACATAATAACTTTGTGCAACTTAATATTAATCAATGTTAAAACCAAGGCTGAAAGTAGCCAAGAAACTGTTAATGTAAAATGAGCTTTCACTGAAGTTAGGATCAGAGCCATAACTGCTATAGACATGGATACTACCGCAACTGTTGATAGGTTTGTCAGTACTGTGGTAATATGTAGGGCTGTTTGAAGTTTCGGTCCCTGATTCCATTTGGCGGAGATTCGGTTAGATTTGGTAGCTGAATTTCTGAATCTGAACAGAATCAGGTGACCCTTTAATCTCTCTGAATCAAATTGGAACCCTCTGAATCAATTCGGAAAGATTCGGTGATTTGGACAGACACAGCTTTAAATGTTTTTTTCTACACACCTCAAGGTACCAGGTGGCTCGTGAACACTGAAATGGGCCATGTTCGATTCAGATTCGGCCTGAATCGGGGACAGTGATTCAATTCATCAATTCAGATCACTGTCCCCAATTCGATTTGGCTGAATCTGAAGATTCGATGCTGATTCAGATTATCAACGATTCGGCCACAGACATAGTTTTAAATGTTTTTTCTACATATCTCATGCACTTCTGGATCCACCAGGGAGCATGCCAGGGGGCCCCACCTCACCCCTCCTGGCTCGGCGACTGGTGCCTCCTGGGCCTGGGGGGGCACCCGAGGTCCCCCCGTGGTCAATCACTGAGCTGGCCCCCCCTGCGCATACTCCCCAGAAGACCTAGCAATGGGCTGAAAGTATTTCCAATCCACTGCGCTCCTGTGGGATGCTCCATCTGCCCCAACATCGCAGTGTTCAAGAGCCATGCCTGGTACCTTGAGGTATGTAGAAAACACTTTTAAAGCTGTGTCTATGGCCAAATCACCGATTCTCTGAATCAGCATCGAGTCTTCAGATTTGGATTCAACCGAATCAAATTGGAGACAGTGATCTGAATCAACTAATCGAATCACTGTCCCCGATTTGGCCTTAATCTGAATCAAATACAGCCTATTTTGCACACCCCTAGCAATATGCCTAGAACCTGCTTGTCACAGAAGAGGCACTCATAATTTTCCCCAAGTTTTGAGTTACTTTGGAAGGCTTCAAGGCTTTATTAGCCTCTTGACAATGGGCTTGGAGAAGGAATTCTGTGTCTTCTCCTCGCAGGTTTTATGTGTTTTTGTTTTCAGTGGATTTGCTCAAAATCAGAAGGTTTGATGACAGTCAACATTCTGTAGGAAAAGGAGCAGCAAGCATGCTTCTGGAAGATTTCATTTCTTCCTTCTACCCTGGGCAAACCTGGGTGAGAAGCATGCACCTTCTGAGGAAAAACATCTTGAGATGGTGTTTTTAGGCGTAATATGAAACAAATGAAACAAATCTTCAAATGGCATGTCTATCAGTCACATGCCCCTTTCCAAGGCAAACTGAGTATCTTGTGTGGCTTCATTTAATGACATAATTGCCTCACTTGGTGGACAATTATCAAAAAGCAGAAACTTGTGATTAATCATAACTGCATCAGTACTGAATACTTCAAAGGAAAGATAAAACAGAGTTTCTTAATGAATTAAAAGAAGCAAAGTCTAATCTTTTTGCTAGCTGTCCCTTTCTATTTATAGAGCAAGAGAAGGTTATTGGGTGCACTGTGCATACAATAAATTATGTAACTATGGTTATGCAAAAAGCTTTGACTCAATCATGACCAGTGAAAGGAACTATATGGTAATTAAAACAACCCTGTGCTTTTTATGCCACTGAAGGAGATGAACCAATATACCAGAGGGAAATATTTATTTACATATAGATGGGTGTGTGCGTGTGTAAATAAAATCACAAACTAGAAAGACTGCTGATTGCACATTTTCCCCAGGAAAGCATTTGTCTGACATGGCATGGAAACTTTTCAGTAGTGCAATGTATACACAGGCCACACTATGACTAGTCAGATGACCCTGTGGAACACCTGCTGTCTGGGTTAGAGAGACCAGTTCTTGTCATTTTCATCTTTACATCTCTCAGGACCTTACCCTAAGCTCCAGTTTCACAGAATTTCTTCTCAGACATTAAACAACTATTTAAGTTTCCATCAATGAATCTTGATACTGGGCTATTTGGCATTTTTACAATGAGCTTTAGGCATAGAAATTCTTCCCCTCTGACCCAATCAATCAGTTTCTTACTAACTGTTAAATACAACCCAAGTCTTACTATTACTCTAAACAGAATTTTCAAGGTTGACCTTTTTGAATATGCAATTATTGCCCACTTTCCCTCTTTTTAAGTCAACCCATCCTAACGTTTTTGTTAAGCCTTTAAGGTGTTTGAAAATTATGTTCTTAAAATAAGTTTATATAAGAGCATCTAGTACTCCACAAATGAAGGTTAATAAAAATTGTGCCATTTAATTTTTGCCTCCGATCACATCCACAGGATCCATCTTTTTCTTGCAATCCTATTATTAAAAAGCAGCAATAAATGTTACTAGTTGTCAAAGTCAAATTGATCTTTCCATTTACAATTTATTTCCATTTCTTTTTTTTTTTGCAGAAGTTGAAAGGATCTAATCTTCCCGAAATTTTAAATGCTGTAATGCTACATTTTAACTAGGGGTAAAATTTAACCTCTAAATTTGCTTTTTTAAAAAATAGCATTTTAATGTTATGATGTTTTCTTGTTTTACACTCATTTCTAAAGCAGCTCTGGTTTAGAAGCTCCAGATTTATTTCCCTAGATGCGGAGAAAGGTCTTTTAATGGGGAAAGTAGACATGGGTGTGCAGAAGCAATAGTAGAATGACAAGATATATACAGAAGACAAAAAATACGAATGCTTTTGAGGTCATTAAAGGGGATGCAGTGAACTACAGAAATCTTAGACTGAAAAAGGTAAATATTCAGAGCAGTGCTAAGCATTCAAGTGATTTAATGCTTTAGAAATAAAACTGATATTTTGGTCAAAAAGCAGGAATCAGGAGGGAAAAATCAGGGTAATACAAGTGAGGCTGATTGATGAAGAATTATCAGAGCGTGAGGAATAGATTAAAATGTGTGGGCAAGCAATCTTCCTTTGGCTCCAAAGGCATATGTTGAAACTTGGTTCTGGATCTGTACTGAAGGCCAACTCAAATCAAACCTGTTTGTTCAGACTACGGAGTGAGAAGTTGCCAGCCATAAACAATAACTACTTCACTGCCTAGAGAAGTGGTGTACCCTAATCACATTTACCCATGGGTCATCTAAGCTCAGGACTGGCTACTGAATAGGCCAGATCTATAAATTTAGTTCAATGTTTGGAAGTGCAGGAAGGTAAGGGAGGAAGAAAAAAATGCATTATTGTTTTTGTAAAGAAACTAACATCAAATTTGAATTTAACAGATTCCACTGAAACACCTTTCGGATTTACAGAAAACACATACAGATTAATGGTGCCTGTTAAAAAAAAAAAAAAAAAAAAAAAAAAAAAAATCAAATTATATCACATTCATCATTTCCATTCAACAATTTATATGATTATGATTAATCTATTACAGGTTTCCTTTGTTTTATGTGGGTTCAGTATATGCAAATTCGCTCTTATGTGATGACCCTTTTTATACCAAAAATTTGTTAAATGTGAGGTAAATTCACTCTTATATGACTGGTGTGATGGAAGCTGCTGCTCCTGCACCGCACTCCCTGCCCACCCCAGTGGTGGGACACACATGGCGTTGCACAGCTCTCAGGGCTGCTGGGCTCAAACTGCAGTGTACAGTGGCAGCCGTCTCTGCTCAACACACAGATTGTGGGGCACGTGCCCCCCAGGCCTCTGCTTGTCCCACCACCTGGCTCAGTACCAAAATTGTCTTGTAAAAGTGGTAGAAATGGGTCTGGGGGTTAGCATAGTCAAGATCTTGGAACGTATCCCTGTTTGTTACACTATAAAGTGGGTTCCCTTTATGCAAATTTGAGTTACATGCTGTTTTCCAGAAACGTACGAACAGCATAAAGTGAGGAAAGCCTGTATATTTAATTAGATTAATTAGAAGAAAAGTAGAACCAGAACCCTAGTTTCTGAGCATAACGTTCAATGAACTATAAAGGACAACAAACCTTACTATTAACCAAACTACTCTATATATATTCTGAAATCATAATAAAATAACAGTATAGTCAACAGTAGAGTACCGCTCATAATTATATTGTTCAGCATCAAACTGCAATAAAATGTGCTAAAACTGTTAGCATACAAATAAATAAAACTTAATCTAAATATATTTGATTTCAGGAATGAAAAAAAAAAATTAGAAACTCACTTTACCCAGATGAGGGAATTGTAAAACTCTGGATCAACAGATTCCAAATCCTTGAGTCCCACTGGCTTGTTGAGAATACGCTTGTAGAATGGCAGAGAGAATCCTGTATCAATGAATTTCCCGTGAAACAAAGCCTGGAGAATATGAAAACAGAATGAAGGATTAACCCACAGAAAGTTTGGTAACCCGGTATGACTACAATATTCCAGTATAGAGCATCAAATGAACCTTGGAGTCCAAAAGTATTATAATAGGTCTAGAGGCAAGAACTTGTGAGTGACATCTTCTATTGCAGGGGTCGGCCACCCTTGGCACACGTGCTGAGCATGGCACGCGAGGCCATTTTCCTCGGCATGCGTTGGGGTCAGGAAGGCAGCAGCTGTTGGCAGCCTCCCAGCTGTAGCCGGCCCCAGCTCTGGGTAGCTCAGGAGTGGGCAAAATATCACCCGTGGGCCACATCCAGCCCACAAGGCCATTTTATTCGGCCTGTGGGGCCCAGAAAAAATTTAGAAAATTAATATTTATCTGTCTTTGGTTCCTGTCAAAAATGACAGGAACCAGAGGCAGTAGGACTTAGGGGAAGCCCCAGCAGGCTCCAACAGCAGGGCCTGCCCCGCCCCACCAGCCAGAAGCCCCAGCAGAGACCATGTGGCTACATCAGGGTGGAAACTAGATAAGGGGAGGGAGGGTGGGGGAGGACCCCGGGCAGGGAAGGAGCCCAGGGAAAAGTGGCCCCTCCCCTGCCCCGTGCTGCAGCCACTCGCAGCCTGCACAGGGCTGTCCTGAGCAGGCACAGGCAGCCCCACGCAGGCTGCGAGTGGCTGCAGCACAGGGCGGGGGAGGGGCCACTTTTCCCACACAGCACCAGCTTGTAACCTACCCCTGCAGCTAGCCTGGGCCCCGTGCTGACTCCAGGCTGGCTCCAGGCTCTCCTGTTGGGGCTGTGCATGGCGGTGGCAGCTGCAGTCCCCCCCACTTGCCGCGCCGCGCAGAGTTTACTGCTGCTGCTACCCTCCTGGACCTTGTGTGCTGGGCAGCACAGAGGAGGCAGTGGCAAACGCTGCCCAGTGCAGCAAGCAGGGAGGGCCCACAGCTGCTTGTGCCACACAGCAGCCCCAAGGCATGAGGACCAGGCTGGCTGTGGGGGCGGGTTACAAGCTGGTACTGAGCGCAGGGCAAAGCAGCCCCTCGCCCGCCCCACGGCTGGCATCCCACACTGCAGCTACTTGCAGCCCGCAAGTAGCTGCAGCATGGAGAGCTGGCCATGGGGTGGGGGAGGGGCTGCTCTTCCCCACGCTCAGCACCAACTCTTCCCCTGCCGGGGAGCAGGGGGTCTGGGCTGCACATTGCCCCTGGCCTGTACCGCAGGGCTGGAGGGGGTGTGGGGGCAGTGGGAGTGAGCTGGTGTACGGGGCCCACACCAGTGTCCCGGGGCCAGCGCCGGCGAGGCCCAGAGCAGGGCAGTAGGAGTACAGGGTCCCGGCTGGCAGGGATTCTATGAAGCCTGGCCAGCTCCCCCCTCTCCCTGCTGGTGCAGCCCAGTCCGATTCCACAGACCCCTGCCAGTCTGCCCAGTGCTGGCCCTGAGACATTGGTCCCAAAACATTGGGACACTGGTCCCAAGATGGTGATGAGGGGGCGGGGCACCTGTCAAGGGGTAGAGGTACCCATGCAGCCCTCAACAGCTTGCCAAAACTGGGTAAGCAGCCCTCTGCCCAAAATAACTGCCCACCCCTTGGGTAGTTGTTGCCAGCTGGGAGGCCGGGCTGCTCCCAGCAGGCAGCTGGGACACTGCAAGCCCTGCTGGGAGCAGCTCGGGCTCCGTGGCTATCAGCAGCTACCCAGAGGCAGGGCCGGCTGCAGCTGAGATGCTACAAACAGCTGCTGCCTCCCAGCCCCGGCCCTAACAGGCGCAGTGCTGGCACCTGCTGCTTTCCTGGAGCCCAGGACCAAGACCAGGGCAGGAGGGGAGCAGCTGTTTGTAGCCTCCCGGCTGCAGTCGGCCCCAGCTCTGGGTAGCTGCTGACAGCCACAGAGCCCGGGCTGCTCCCATGGAATCCCTGCTGCAAGCAGCCCAGGCTCTGTGGCTGTCAGCAGCTACCCAAACCTGGGCCAGCTGCAAACATCTGCTGCCTCTCCATTCTGGGCCTGGCCCCAGCAGCCTCCCAGACCTGGCCCCGGGCTCCTGGGAGGCAGCACATGCCGGCAATGCTCCCTCCTGTGCTGCCCTTGCTGCTTCTGCAAAGCAGTGTTGGAATCCAGCGCAGCAGGGCACAGCTGGGGGCACAGAAAGCTGCCTGCTCCCAGCTCCCTACTGCCCTGGCCACACTTCCCTTGCAGGCGGCAGCAGCAGTGAGGGGCACAAGCCTGTGCTGCTGCCCATGCTGCTCCCGTGCACAGGGAAAGTGTGGCAGGGCAGCGGGGAGCTTGGAACAGGCAGCTTTCTGTGCCCCCCGCTGTGCCTTGCCGCACCGGGTTCCAGTGCTGCTTTGCAGAAGCAGTGAGGGCAGCACAGCAGGGAGAACTGCCGGTGTGTGCTGCCTCCCCAGAGCCTGGGGCCAGGTCTGGGAGGCAGCTGGGGCCGTGGCAGAGAGGCAGCAGATGTTTGCACCCGGCTCAGGTTCTGGGTAGCTGCTGACAGCCACAGTGCCCGGGCTGGGGGGCAGGGGCAGCAGGGCATCCTGACATGTACCCCTCGCCCTCATTTTGTTTTTCTGGCTTGCCAGCACTCCGGCATCTTCCAAGGTAGGCATTGTGGGGTTTTTCGGCACTCCAGACAAAAAATTTTGCCTACCCCTGTTCTATTGGATCAATGGAATGGTTGTGATAAAATTAGACAAGAATGCCTTGCATTTGAAAACTTGTCTAACTATCTCAACCATGCAGCTGGTCCATTAAAAGATATCACTCACAAGAATCCTTGCCTTTTGCATAGTTTCTAGACCATAATTCTAACACTACCACAAAATGTCTAATACTTCCATAATTATTATTGGTACATACATTGCCTGAAAATATTAGTTGTTATATACAGACCATCTCATAACAGAATACTAAATAGTTTGTTCATGATTGGAAATAAATTTTATGTTTTAAAATAATCATTGAAAAATTAGGATATTGTGGATGTGCATTGTTCTACTGTCTGAACTTACCATGGCAATAAATCTGCCAATAAAACGGAAGTATTTCAGATGGTCTGGATTTATGTAAGAAGCTGGGTTTATCTGTAAACAGTAGTTATCCTTGCCTGCATATTCAAACAGGCAATACATTGGGTTCAACACTTCATGAGACAACAGGAAGAACCATTCCCTGAAACCACACAAAAACAAACAAATTCTAAATACATAAATAAAAGAGTGAGACATTATAAACTGTTCTTACTAGTACACACGCTAAAGATTATTTTAGGAATTGTCAGCAGTTAAAACTGGTCTCCCTAGAAAAAGTTTAGGATACCTTATACATAATAGAATTGGGTATTCAAATTTGTCCTTGGATACAGTACTATCGGTTCTAAAAACAGTGCGTTTCTGATTAACAAACTGACAACTACTAAGATGAAGACATCCCTGACCTAAACTTCAGATGTGTTTTATTTAAAAATTATTGCAATCACTTATGGAACAAGTATTCATACTCTGCCTCAATTCTTTTTAGAGACACTGGTTCAAGGATTCATCTTTTAACCTTAGGATCACAGCTAAATTTTAATTTGCAAATATATATCAAACATATATTTGATACTAATGGAGAACACCTTAATTTGTTTATTGTTAAGCTTAAAAAATGAACTGCTTCAAATATACTGATATCTTTTTGTCCTACAAACATTTTCATAATTTTATCATGATTTTGGCAACAATAACTAAGGTTAATTTATAAGATTGTACCTGGAAAAAAAAATGTTAAAACCAGATTGGCAGAGTGGTGCATATTACTGCTTTGATTTACTTTGCCATATCCACATATATCCAAAGTTTCCCTTCCTGTCCACATTAATCTCTTTGGACTTGTAACAGAGTCTTGTTGGGTGAATTTTATGACCTCTACAAGTAAATGTATGCTTATTCATTATTTCAATTAATCTCTGCTGTTAATTTGATCTGATGTATTATTGCAGAGTTGGGCAAATCTTGAACCTCTTGCTCTTAGTTTTCAGGTGCCTTCGGTTTAGGACATAAGTCACACAGTGGGATAAAACTGGTTTGTATGGTTTTATGAAGGGGGAAAATTATTCTGACTTTTTGTTAAGGCAGCCCTCATATCTCCTTGTGAAAGTTATTCACACCAAATATTGGCATAAAAATTAAATTATTCATATTTTTATTTTTAAAAATACAAAACATAGTGATATGTTACCTTGCAACACCTCCGTAGTCTAAACCTTCTTCTCCAGGGAAAATAACCCACAAACGTCGTCGCAGATCCTGAGGGCTGAAGCTCATTATCTTAGTCAAAGCAAAACAACAAAAAGATTTATGCCAAGAACAGTTATGAAAAATAAAAACAACTGTTCAGGACACACTGTTATTTGATATCAAACCTGATAGGGCCTGGACCTGAAATTCTCAATAACCATGAAATTGAGCTTAGCGGTTTGCAAAAAAGTAGCCACTCAGGAAATGCTCATGAAATTTGAGCTAGTCTTGAACACATTTTCAACTAGCAGACTAAAAGATAAAAGATGTAACAATAAGTGCAACAAAATGAAATAAAGATTATTAAATGGAACACACTTGACCTTGTTCAGCAGCTTGTCCTCAAAAAGGCAAGACTGTATTCCAACTCAGTGGCTAATCCACAGAGAAAATACAGGATGATTACACCCTGCCCCACTGCAAGATGTCATGCTGACAGGATACTAGCTACAAGATATGGATTATGATAGGAAGTTCATAGGGGTATGTCAAAATAATTCTATAGTAATTATTATTCTATAAAATCAGTTAATTTTTCACATCTTTTCCTTTTACAGTATTTTCTCAGACCATATATTTATAAGATAAAAACTAGTTTGCACTCGTGCAGTATTTTTCTTATACCAAGAAGAAACCTGAATGTTAAAGCAACTTTCCCTAGTGCTCCTTTTGGCACAGCATATTTGTGAAAATACTGACTAGGTCAGAGATCATTTTCTAGTTTACTGAAAAACCCTACAAGTGGTGATTTTATATAAAAGTTTGACTCTGCAAAGATGACTGTTTTTGCTTTCCCCATAGACCATATTTTTGAATGATCCTATGATCCATATTTTAAAATCTTTCCTAGTCGTCTGCAGTGGCAATGATAGATTCTACGTTTACAAGAAACACAATTGTTTTTATAAATTCTGAACCAACCAGCATGAAAGGAAATATTTTTGCTCATATTTTTGTTATATTTCATTTAAATGTATTTTAAAACTCAGTTACAAATAAAGCAATAAAAGTTGCTTCGGGAGTCTGGATTGACATCTGGATGACATGGTTGGCACAATGAAATTGATCACTGCCTCAGTACTCATGGTGTTTGCTTGTAGGAGAATGCTAACATTAGTGGATCTGTCTTCCCACTGGATTTGGATAATCTTCTGCAGGCAGTGTTTATGGTACTTCTCCAACAACTTTAAATGTCTCCTGTACACTGTCCATGTCTCCATTCTGTAGAGCAAGGTAGGGATCACAACTGCTTGATAAACCATGAGCATAGTTTCAGATCTGATGTTGCAATCTTCGAACACCTGTTTCTTCAAGCATCCAAAGGCTGCACTTGCACATTTGAGGTGATGTTGGATTCCTTCATCCATGTCAGCCTTTTGCTAGAGATGGTTTCTGAGGTACAGGAAATTCTTAATGTTCTCTAGAGTCTCACTGTGGATCTGGATTACTGGAGCTAGGGACTGCTCATTAGGAGCTGGCCTTAGTCTTCTGAATGTTATGCATCAGTCCCATTTTCTTGTATGCTTTGGTAACAACACTGAAGATTGCCTGAAGGTCTGCTTTCATGTAAGCACAAGCTACAGCATCATCAGTATACTGGAGCTCAATGATTCAGGTCAGGGTGGTCTTGGTTTTGGCTTAGAGTTGGCTGACATTAAACAGTTTGCCATCCATTTGGTAGTTTATTTTCATTCCAGCTGGAAGCTTGTTGGTGGTCAGATGTAGCACTGTGGCAAAGAATACTGAGAAGAGTTTTGGAGAGATGACGCAGCCTTGCTTAACCTCAAAAGGAACTGTGATAGATCCATTACTGAGAACCACCACTCATATCCTCATGGAGCAGGCAGAAATGGCGACAAATTTCAGTGGGTATCCATACTTTAGAAGGCTACTGCTCGGCTGACAGATGCTAAAGCTTTTGTGAGGTCAAAGAAGGCCATGTACAGAGGTGTATGCTGTTCCCGGCATTTCTCCTGTAGCTGGTGAACTATGAAAATCATGTCATTTGTGCCTCTGGATTCCCTAAAACCCACACTGAGATTCTGGGAGGAGCTCTTTAGCAAGTGGAAGGAGATAGTTCATGAGGGTTCTTGCAATGATCTTTCCTATGGTGCACAGCAAGGGGATCCCCCTCTGTAGTTTCCAGTCAGACTTGTGTCCTTTCTTGAAGATTGTCACAATCATGGCATCCCTCAGGTCATCTAGAATTTCCTCATCATTCCAGATCCTTAAGATGAGGGCATGAAACTGTGATGTGAGCTCCTCTCCTCCCTGCTTAAAGATTTCTGCATGGTTTCCTTCTGCTCCAGATGTCTTGTAATTCTTCATTTGCTTGACAGCTTTCCTCACTTTGCTGGAGAAATTTCGAGTTGATCTGCCTGCAGGTTATGGGATGGAGTTGGGAACACGCCTGGCAACAGCAGAGTCTCGATTGAGAAGATCTTCAAAATGCTCTTTCCAACAGCCATTGATGGTTCACCTTTCCTTTATCAGATGTCTTCCATCCTTAGGTCTCAAGGGAGCTGCTCCCCAAGTGCTTGGACCGTTAGATGGCTTTAGTGGCACTGAAGAAACTGTGCATATCGTGGATGTTGGCGAGATGTTGAATTTTCCTAGCCTTGTCTTCCTATCATTTGTTTTTCATATCACGGGTCCTCCTTTGGACCTCTGCCTTGGCTTGCTGGAGATTCAATTTCTTTTAGCTGGAGTTGGTGTCATTTTGCCAAGCATAAAAGGCCTTGCGCTTGTGATCGATCAACTCTTGGATCTCCTGGTCATTCTCATCAAACCAGTTATTGCTTCCTGGTAGAAAATCCAAGCATTTCTTCACAGGCGCTGATGACAGTGGCTTTTAGGGCACCCCTCATGCTGCTGACATTCTCTTGTTGTTGATTGGAATTCACCAGTTTTTAACCAAGACACTTGTGGAAAATTCCTTGCTTGGGACTTGAGTCGCTTGGGTCCTTCAATGGTGATCTTCCATTGACATTGCTTTTGCTGTAGCCACTGTTTGGCAGCCAGCTTGAGTGACATAACTGAGCAGATGAGTTGGTGACCAGCTCATCAGTTATCAGCTCCTAGCATAGCTTGGGTGATGCAGACATCTTTATGATCCCAGGCATAGATGATGACGTAAGTCAATCAGACGCCAATGCTTAGATCATGTGTGTTGCCATGATGGTCTTGTGCCTGCTTTTTTCTGGCAGAACAGCGTGTTGGTGATGGTGAGTCCATGTTCTGTGCATTTGGTCAAGAGGAGAATGCCACTGGAGCTGACCTTTTCTACTCTTCCGTTGCCAATGGTTCTGTCCCAGAGGTTGGAGTCCCTTCCGACCCTGGTATGAAAATTACTGAGAAGAACAAGTTTGTCACCCTCTGGAATGTCAGAAAGGACTTGGTAAAGGTTGGCATAGAATTCCTCATCAGCAGCATCATGAGTCAGGGCATACGTGCTTATGACAGTGGCATATTGGCTCCCCATCAGTTTAAGACGGAAAGTCACGAGGCACTCATTCATTCGGACAGGGAACACACTGAATTGGTTTACGAGTTCATTCCTAATGGCAAAACCAACTCTGTGAAGCTTGCATTCTCCTTCCTGTTTACCTTCCAGAAGAAGGTATAGCTGCTTCCATGTTCTTTGACCTGCCCATCTCCTACTTGCTGGGTCTCGCTCAGTGTAGTTACATCAATGTTGTCACCTGAGTTTTCAGACCACAATTGCAGTGCAGTGCGCAGTGCTCTGGGCATTTCTTATTAGGACTGACTAACAGTGAATGTCCAGACTAATGTTATACAAAACACCCCCTGACTAACATTATACAAAATAAAAAGGCAGGGTCTACTGACCAAAGCTGAGGACCCACGAAAGAGAGGCTTCTCTTTGACTGGGAGAAACATTAATGAAGGCCTTTGGGAAGTTACCAACTGTAATACAAAGTATGGTGTGACCCTGAAAAGCAGGATAAAGCATAGTTACTGCTACTACTTACAGAACTAAAGGACAATATTGAATCCTTTAGGATGGGGTGCGCAACATATTGCTTGTGGGCTGGATCTGGTCCACTAATTTCATAGACATAGACATTGGGGCTGGAAGGGGCCCCAAAGGATCAGAGTCCAGCCCCCTGCCCCAGGGACAGGATGTCAGCAGGGATCATAGGATCCCAGCAAGATAAACATCCAAATATGTCTTGAAGGCGTTCGAAGTGGGTGCTTGAACCGCCCCTGGCAGCAGTCTATTCCAGACCTCGGGGGCTCGAACAGTAAAGAAGTTCTTCCTTATGTCCAGCCTCAAACGGTCGTGGTGGAGTTTGTGACTGTGCAATCTCGTCATCCCTTGGGGCGCTCTGGTGAACAGATGTTCCCCCAGATCCTGGTGAATACCCCTGATAAACTTACAGGTGGCCACCAGATCGCCCCTGAGCCTGCGCTTTTCCAGGCTGAAGGGTCCCATGGCTCTCAGCCTCTCATCATAAGGTCTGTTTTCCTGACCTTGGATCATGCACGTGGCTCTCCTCTGCACTCTCTCAAGCTTCTCCACATCCTTTTTGAATTGTAAAGCCCAAAACTGGACGCAGTACTCCAGCTGTGGTCTCACCAAGGCTGAGTACGATGGGAGAATGACATCCTGGGATTTGCTTGAGAAGCATCTATGGATGCAAGCCAGTGTTTTGCTCGCTTTACTAGCCACAGCATCACACTGAAGGCTCATGTTCATCTTGTGGTCAATCATGACCCCCAAATCCCTTTCATCTGTAGTGCTAACCAGTGTAGCACTGCCGAGTCTATAAGCATGCTGCAGGTTTTTCCTCCCAAGGTGGAGAACCTTGCATTTTTCGGTGTTAATCACCATCAGGGTTCATCCGCCCATTTCATGAGCCTGTCAAGATCTGCCTGGATCACCCTCCTGTCCTCAGGTGTGGACGCTTTACCCCAAAGTTTGGTGTTGTCGGCGAACTTGGCCAGCCTGCTTCTGACACCAATGTCTACATCAATGATGATGTTAAAAAGTATAGGTCCTAGGAAGA